AGATGTCTCCGACAAGGAGGCGAGGCTCATAAGAAGAAAGAGACCAAAGATTTCGACGACAACAACGACACCGAAATTGGTATCTTCTTCGAAGATTACTTGGACTAAGAACGACGAGCTCCTCATTCTCAGGGTTCGTAAAAAAGTCTCTTCCTTTATGTCTATTTTATGTTCTTCTTTACTCTGTTTCTTACTTTAATACGCGTTCTTGTTTTGATTTGTTTAATGTGGAAAAAGGGTATTCTGGACTATGAGGACGAAACGAAATTGAGCTACAGATCTGATTGGGATGGGTTTCACAGCTATGTCAAAGGTTCTATTGTATCAAACTTCTCAAAGTTGCAGCTAAGGAGCAAGGTCAGAAAGTTGAAGAAGAGATTCACAGATAAATCTGACGATGGGAAAGGACCTTCTTTTACTAATGTTGACGACGATGAAATCTTCAAATTGTCAATGATCATATGGGGAAAGAAAAATGAAAAAGAAGTTGGTTCTAATGTGAATATGGACCAAGGGAAGGTGAGTGAGTGTTTGTTTGTTTTTTGTTCTACCAATCTGCTTTAGTACTCTCTATCGCTAGAACATTGATGTTACCAATGCGTTATTGATATTCTGTTCTTGTTTTGAATAAGAATGTGACTTCTGTGGAGCAAGATGAACAGATTAATGAGAATGTGGAGCAAGCAAAGGTGAGTGAGTGTTCCTTGTGTTCACCAAAACATTATGTAAAATTTGATTTTACTAATGAGTCGTTGATCTTTTTATTTGAATAAGGATGCGACTGATGTGGAGCATGAGCAGATTAATGAGAATACGGACCAAGCAATGGTGAGCGAGTGTTCCTTGTGTTCACCAAACATTATGTAACAGTCAGTTGTTATTACTAATGAGTCACTGATCTTTTGTTTTGAATAAGGATTTGACTGATGTGGAGCATGAGCAGATTAATGAAAATGTGGAGCTTGAGCAGATTAATGAGAATGTGGAGAAACCAGAGGTGAGTGAGTGTTCCTTATGTTTTCAAAACATTATGTAATGTTTGTTATTAACTAATGAGTCGTTGATCTTTTGTTCTGAATTAGGATGTGAGTCATCATGTGACTTCTGTGGAGCACGAGCAGATTAATGAGAATGTGGGACAAGCCAAGGTGAGTGATTCCTTGTGTTCTACCATCTGAGAACATTATGTAAGGTTTTGATATCACTAGTGCGTGATGATCTTTAAGTTTGTTCTTGTTTCAAATAAGGATGTGCCTAATGTGGAGCATGAGGGAGCGAGTAACACAAGTACAAAGGCTGTCAATGGTGAGGAAGAGAAGAAGGTTGATAATGGTGAGAAAGAGAAGAGTGAGACAGCTGGTGTGGATGAGTTTTGTGTTCTGCAGGACGCATTCGAGGCGACATTGTTATTGTTTCCGAGTTTAGGTAGAAATCACCAAAAGCTCTTGCTTCAGAATCTAAGGAACCTTGAAGCCGAGAAAGGAAAAGAGCTAATTGATGAATGGAAAGCATTGCTTGGTGAGGAGATGAAACTGAATATCAAGAAACTGAACTTCTCCGCCAAGCTTGCAGACGTAGGAGGTTCTGATTAACTGGAGACAAACAACAAAAAGAAATCTTTTTAGGTTCTTGCTACTAATGATTTTGTTGTGTAAATGCCATCTTTTGAATGGTTTAGTTAGCCTACTACTATGTTAAAGGGATTGTGGCTTCTTTTGTCTTAGGGTTGTGACTGCATCTTTTTGGTGTATATTTCTGAAATGAATCTAAAAAACATTTAGGATCATTTTCTTGCTATACTAGAGCAAGAAACAAGTGCAATGTGTGTTTATCTTGATTGGGAAAGAATATGATATTAGTTAGTTCTTTGCCAATTAGAACCGCCTGTGTTTTTGAGGAGTACTAAACTGTGATCGCAGCAATGGACAAGATCCAAAGTCATCTACTAACTATCAAGAACAGTCAACACCTATCTATATACGATTATTATACATGATTGAACGAACAATACTTTTCATTAAATGTTAGAGGACACTTTATTAATCCGACAAAGATAAAACACAACTAGTAGTTTTTTACAGTTTTTTCGGATGCGGTGATATTGGTTGAAACAAGACATTTTAAAACGTCTTAACAAAAAAATTATTGAACAAATCAACACTTGAACGGAAATGATAAGTAGACACAAAAAAAAAAAAATCGAACAAAGAACCATGCCGGGTTCACAACTCTCAACATACCCAAGAACCAAAGAGACCTCTCCACCAAACCGAACGGAAATGAAACTGCAAAACAAGGCACAAATCTATAGACTTCAGACCCAACAAAACCTCTGGTCAGGACAAACGAGGAAAGACTTGTACTGGAAACGAAAGCATAGAGGGGTTTTCCAGAATGTTCAAATTTATTCTACATAGAGGGGCACAAATTTCATTAAATGTAATTAACCACAACCAAAATTTATTATACATTTTTGATTCAATGATTCCTTGTATTCATTGAATCA